CGTTTTAATAAATATTTATTGAATTGACTTTAATATTTAATTTACTTTATTTCATTAAAACATATGATGGTTAAAAGGTCTATGTCACTTGTTTTTATATTTGGTGTTCACTCCTTAACCTCACTCCTTAACTTTGACTTCAAGAAAACTTAACACTTCACATTTTTTTTTAATTACCTTTAAATATAAGCGACTTAAACGTTTCCAAATTGCTCTGCACACTTTTGGGATGCAATAAACCAAGAATGAATGGGACAGTCTCGTTTGAAATGCTAAACTGCGATAAGTTTCGCCGGTTGCTAAATACCGAAGCGTAACCGCTAACTGTTCCTCTGGCGAAATGGCGTTTCTAGCATTTGTTACACATTTTTCTATGTCGCACCTAATCAAATTTAAAATTTGGTCGAATTGTCCATCTGATATCCTGACATAGTTCTTAAATGACCACAAATCTTCATTTTTAAGATGTCTATGAAGAAATGCATACGATCCTTCAGAATCTCTAGTTTGACGCCATATAACTGCGCGGCAAGATCTGGGGCGTCTAATATTTCCGAGCATCAGCAAAGATTCAATGAGTCTTATTCCACACCTTATAACATTTCTTTGATTTTCTGTCCAGAATATAACACTATTTGCATATTGTTTTAACATACATATAATACCGTATACTTCGTTATCCATTTTTAACGCTTTTTTATGTTTCCTACGTGCATATCTACACAATTTCTGTCGAACGTTGCCAGTAAAACCAAAAGCATTATTAATATGCAACCCTGCAGCAAACTACCGAAGGTTGCCAATCAAAACAAAGCCATTAAGAAAATGCAACCCTGTGGCAAACTCGACGTAACCACCTCACACCAAACAGAGGCAGCCGCCATATTGTTTGCCAATCAAAAGTCCGTCTACATAACACCGACCGTACAGGCCCTTAGGTTTATTCGAAGAGTGCACCAGACTGCAGTGACTAGCAGTGTTGCCATAAGTCTAGATTTATCTTCAATACGAAGATATTTTTCATATGTAGGGCGTGTGTGAATCGGTGACAAAGTTCTGTGGGGTGAATAATACGTTTACTCTGGTGAGACAGTTTTGCCAATCTACTGTGTGAAATGAAATATTTTCCAACAGCAGTAAATTTTTGGCAACCGCAGATTTATGCGGAATAAAATATCATGAATTTAAGTGAAATGAATATGTTAAGAAAACGTCATTGATTGCAATCCATTAATTTAATTTTTAATCAATTTAATTTTAATCCAATAAAGCTTTTGAAAGATTCAAGAAATGTATTCACAAGAAATATTTAATATAGTGTAATACTTCTTAATTTCCTAAGAAGAAAGTAATTTTCTGGTTGACGTTTGTAATTTCGACGCCATGTTCTTTTCTTTGAAAAGTAAAGGGTACACTTTGAAATGGAGACCCCCGATTCGGGGATTAAAAGTGATACCATTGGAAAGCTGGAGTCCTTTTCAGATATACCCACTTTTAGGTGCGGGAGCCTTCTGGTTTTGAGATATTTAGTATTAAAATATTTTACTTGCTTAGTAAACGACGCTATGTATTAGGCAAAGAACATAGTGACGCGACAAAGAGAGCGACAAGACATTTTCGAATAATAGTGACAAAAACAAACCTTTATTTTTCAATGTAGCAGCACATAGTGAAGCGAAAAGCGAAGAAAGTGACAAAGAGCATAGCGACGAAAACAAAAAAAATTGTTTTCGTTGCTTTCTGAGCTGACTGTTGCTTCACTATGTTTTTGTATGTACAGTTATATTTTATTTATTAAATATTTTGTTTCTTCAACTAGCGTAAATGGCCGCTTGCGTATTGACATAAAACGGATGTGCTACCAGACTGTTAAAATGAAAAATAAAATAAATGAAAGAAAATAACGTTTGTGAAGTTTGCTTTTACGTCTTTTGCTCTATTCGCTGTGAGTAGGGTTCAATCGGTAACACTAAGGTATCACTCTAATGAGTACTTGTACTCAAAAGACTGAAAGTATCGATACCTAGTCAGTATCGGCAAAGTATCGAGTACTTACTTGAATTGTTTTCATCATCTCTTTCGAGAGATACTTCCCTTTTTTGTTGTAAAAGGTCGTATGATTACGTGTTATACAATGTTCTGACCGACAACGAAAACACCTTGAAAACAAGTCTTGGGATTGTGTGCTGAAGGCTGTTCACACCGACTGTTGGTGTTTTCGTTGACATTTCTTACATCCATTGTTTACAGTTTTGCTGCACAAATACAAAACCAAAATATTTTTCATTTTTAATGTTTTTATTGAGCTTTGTACCACGATTGTTTATTTGGAAAATTGAAAAAGCAACAAAGTCTAAAGAGCGAAATACACCACACAAGCGGCTTGTCAAACATTCTTCAAACCTACTTTTCCCATTTCGCCATACACCATGCAAACATGACTCGTTCAAGCAAAGAATTTTAGTTTTCTTCCAGTTCGCAATGCTAAATATTATGGTTTTCTTTCATTTTCCTCTCTTACGTCCTTACTCGGTGAAAATTTCGTTGCGAATGAGGCGATTTTGCTATACACAACGCAAGCGGTTTGATCAAACATCAACATGGCGGCCAGAAAATCAAAAAATTTTGATTTTTGCTCAAATTTCCCTCAAGCGGTTTGTCAAACCTTCTACACAGCACAAATGGCTTGAAGCAAAGGGAAATTTCGCTTGGTTTGTCAAACCGCTTGTGTGGTGTATTTCGCTCTTAAGCGGTAGAAGTTATAGCACTATTTCGGAGATCACCACATCTCCTCATCAGGCTTCTTTTTTCTAGACTTCAGCAGGGATCGAACCTGCGAATTCGATGTTCAAAGTCAGAAGCGTTAACCACTGAGCTATGTACATCGCGTAAACTCTTGTTGCTAATTTATTTTCCTTATTCAACCAACTACTATCAAGTGCAGCTGATTTGCCGCTATTTAAACTCGACAGCGTGGTTGTTGTTGTCAATTCTATACATCCATTTGCTTATTTCCTTTTTTGTATAGTTTCAGGCAGGCTCTTCCTAAACTATGTCTTCTCAATGTTATTGTGGCTTGTTAACATCTTATTTTTAATGTTTTTATTGAGCTTTGTACCACGATTGTTTATTAGGAAAATTAAAAAAGCAACAAATCTAAGCGGTAAAAGTTATAGCACTATTTCGGAGATCACCACATCTCCTCATCAGACTTCTTTTTTCTAGACTTCAGCAGGGATCGAACCTGCGAATTCGATGTTCAAAGTCAGAAGCGTTAACCACTGAGCTATGTACTCCCGTAAACTCTTGTTGCTAATAGTGCTATAACTTCTACCGCTAATAGTGCTATAACTTCTACCGCTTAGACTTTGTTGCTTTTTCAATTTTCCTAATAAACAATCGTGGTACAAAGCTCAATAAAAACATTAAAAATAAAATGTTAACAAGCCACAATAACATTGACAAATGCAAAATACTTTTCCTTCAATTTCTTTTCATTAACAACCTTTTACTTCCATGCTTATTTTATTTTGGTCAGCCAATTAACAACAAATCCGAAATGGCGTATTAAAGATGATAAAATATGACCTCCACTTCGATAAGTAATCGGAAAAAACTAGTGCAGACACCGATTGGAATGAGTGGAACGTGAATTTTTAAGTGGTTTTCAGCGAAAACTTGTTTTCGTTTGACAGATTTTACATTGACGAAAACACAAGTTTTGGGTCGAAAACTAGTTTTAGCAACGAAAACATGTTTTTGATGTCGGTCAGAACATGGTATTATCATGGTTCAAAACATTGTATGTCAAAATCAAATAAAAAGCCAATAAAGTTGCAGGTATAGAAAACGTATATATTTAAGTTATTTAGCAGAGAACGATCTGCCCGGTTGAGAAGCAGCCATTTGTAATAGCAATTGAGAAAAAAGTGTGTGACGTTCGTAATTTTGAAGTTTGCTATTTCTGTTTTGCTTCTTTCTTTATGTGTATTTTGTCGGTGGTTTATTTCAGTGACTTTTAAGTAATTTTTTTGTGCAAATGTAATTAAAATGAAGTGCGCGGGGATTGGATCAAAAAACACGTACAAAAATAATAAATTGGTTAGCACAAACATATGCACCACATTGCTTGCATTTCTTCTTTATGCTTCGTCTTCATATTCTTTGTTTACTTTGCACAGAAAATAACATGGCGCCGAAATTACAAACATCAGCCAGAAAATTACTTTTTTCTTTTGCTTCATCTTGTCAGATCTTGTGGAATTGGATCATGGTGTTAGCACGTTTGCAAAAAAAGTTTATGTCTGCAACTTGAAGCAAGTGCTTGATCGTGTAGAGCCCATGTTATCAGTAGGTAAACTTAATGCAACCCTATACTACGCTTGGTTGCATCGCTGTAATGGTCGCCATTTTATTTCCGTGAATTCTTTTTGTGGTTCGGTGTGAACGGGAGATCGTGCGCGATTAAAATTAAAATTTCATCATTTTTAACAAAGTTAATTGAAACCCAGAGGGCTTAACCGCTACTTTAAAGTGAAAGCTTAACTTATAAATAGACACCACACAAAAACAGATCACCATGGTTGATAAAATTGATATGAGTTTGGACGAAATTATTAAAAGTCAAAAGCCAAAACCTATTGTCGGACGTGGTCCTAGCATAACTCGTCGTGGAGGTGGACGACCAATTCGAGGCGGCGGTAATGCTGATGGACGTCGCCGACCCGCTGGTGGCGCTACATTAAAAGGACGTAATCGCGGCGGGGGAATACAAAAGGCTAAATTCGCAAGGGTAAAGAAATTGAAATAAAATGAATCGAAATTAAAATGGATAACAATGCGTGGGATTTCATAAATTGAAAGTAAAATTAGCGTTCCGCAGTAAAAAAAAAAAACATTTGTGGAGTCATGTGCCTCATTTTGCTAAACTTAGTTCTGTTTGGTTATTTTTTATCAACAAACTAAGATGGCCAACAGAGTAAAAAAATAGCAACATACATTTCCCATTGTGAATTTTCTTTTCGAGAAATATACAGAACAAAGATGTCAATATTGCATAAAATGGCTGCACAACGGGACTTGCTGAAAACTACAATCTCTTTGGATGGCGGAAAATGAATTATATTCGAGAAGAGGGCTGATTCAATGCGAGGAAATAGCGTTGCTCTTGTTTGCGTTGGCCCCAACAGGAGCTCAACATATACCTCAAAGCATATTGCATCAATAACCATTTCCCATATAGTTATTTTATACTACTTTAACCCGTAAAATTGAACGATAACTATTTTAATAGTATTGTAAATTTCTGCTTAGAAATATTATGTTTAATTTTCTTTGAATTACATATTTAATTTGATTTGATTTTACCGTTCGACTGATATGTCAGCGGTTCCCACTACGTTCACTCGTTGGCGCGTAAAATGCACTTTGTGCTACTGACCGCCACTGCCACTTCGGTAGGCGTTAGTGACCAATGGTCATATATACGTAAAGACGCATTTGCGAGTGAGGTTGTATAACTGCAGCGACGCTATGGGAGATCGTAATCGAACCAGAACATAAAATTCCTTAGATCGCAAAGTCCAGAACAAAACATCAACAACAACTGATCACAAAAAGAATTCCATCAAAACCTACTACTCCTACTTCCTCTAGGGCGATGTAAACAGCGCATGGAAACACGACATGTACGACGGGCCAAAACGTGGTATTTTAAAAGGATCATCTGAAGTAGCAAAGTTACTTGTCTCCAACTTGGATTATGGTGTATCGGACTCGGATATTCAGGAGTTGTTTGCCGAATTCGGGCCGCTGAAGAAGGCAGCCGTGCATTATGATCGCTCTGGACGCTCATTGGGTTTGTTTGAGCTATATTTATTTGTACTACTTCTTTTAACTAAATTGTTTCATTGTTTTTTAAAGGTACTGCTGATGTTGTTTTCGAACGTCGTTCAGATGCACTAAAGGCTATTAAACAATACAATGGCGTACCCCTAGATGGCCGACCAATGAATATTCAATTAACCACATCGGACGTTTCAGCTCTGACAAGAGTCGGTCGCATTGGCGGAGGTGTTGGTGGTAGTCCAATCAAACGCAGAACAGGTTCAGCCCCACCACCCAGACGTGGAGGTGATGATAGAATAAATTACAAAGGCCTTTTGCTTTAACTTACTTGTAATTGCAGCAACTAGTGGAGTACGCCGTGGCCCACCTAATCGTAGAGGGGCTGCCGGGCCCAAACGTGGTGGGCGTCCCAAACTACCAGAGAAAACGGCAGCTGAATTGGATGCCGAACTGGACGCTTATGTTAATGATATGAAAATTTAGAAATAGTCTTAAGAAATTATTAGCTAAGACACGACTTGATAAATATATTTGACATTGACTTTAAAATATGTGAAATAAATGTTACTTGAGAGCAAGTATGTATAACAAAAAATGATCATTAAAACGAAAGCCAAAAAGTACAATAATTTGAAGCTGTTGCGAAAATTTTCTTCAACAATTTATAAGACGACACTACAAGATTTATTTCAAGTTTTATCTTAAGTATATATGTATGTATCAGTGCTGTACAGGATTAAACAACAAATTTTCATTTCATATGACCACTTTAAGCATTATCTAAAGTTAAAAATACAATTTTGCCATGTTATAAATTCAATTTTTTTACTTGCTTCACATTTTCCGGGATATTCATTCTACCTGAAACTGTAAATAAAATATTACAAGCAAACAATTCAACATGTATTTTTTTGTGTATAAAATTGGCGAAAACACTAAACCGACCAATAAAATTGTATTTAGTAATAATTCAGCCCTATTGCGAGTGTCAACTAGTAATAGATAAAGACTTAGTCGATAATCGATTATCCGTGGTATTTTTAAAGTCGTTTTCTCGTTCAATAAATGCGTGTTAATAGTTTATAGTCGCTCGTCCTCCTACAAACAAACAGTTGTAGAAAAATGAGAGATAAAAACGATTCACAGTCGCTTATTGAATGAGAAATCGATGTTCGGAATACCATGGAAAAGCGATAATCGAATAAGAGTCCTTTATCTACTACTAGTCTACGCTCGCAATAGGGGTGATTATGTAATATACGTGACCATCAAGGCAAAACCCCATATTTGACCATGGGGAAAATATACTATAATTTGTAATTGTGGTTATTGTGTCTTGATATTTGACCGGTTTGAAATTAACAAATTTTTATTCCAAGTTGATAGCTATCTCCTTTTGTTTTATATTGCGGGGTTTTCCCTTCCACCCAAAAAAGGCGATTTTTTTGCACAGTATACTGCGATACCTAGGCAATTTTGTAAACTGTATGACTTACGCAATGACTCCGAATGTTTAAAAACGCAGAATTAAAGGATAAACGCGTTATGGCTCTACTCAACTCACAAGTCCCAACAAATATTGCGCGTGCAACGACTGTTTTATCCAGCACCGATTCTTTTGGAGAAATTTATGGTTGGCAACGCCAATTGTGCCGCTTTTTTAGCGAAAAAATGCAGCCAACTTCACTTAAAAAACTTTGCAGCTTGTATCTGATCGTTTCGTCTTGCTGCCGGTGAATTTATTTTTTGCAACCATTTGTCTACAAATATTTCCATGTTTGCAGCCATTTTAATATAAATTTAAACTGCTAGCAACGTCTCGAATAAACAAATTTCGTGATTTGCCTACTAAAAGTGTTATAGACTTTTATACCTCCGTGTGAGTGCTCTGTCTGCGTCGCTGCCTTTTTTGCTTTCGCCGCTGTTGCTTTGTTGTTTTGGCGCCTTTGAGCAAAAGCCAGCGGTGTGAATATTATTCCTGAAAAGATGGTTGATAGAAGTGACAATGGTAAGATCTACTTAGCGTCTTTTTTCCATATTACAGACGCTGGTTTATACTCGTCTTTTGATAGTAAATCGCAAACTACACGTTTCTAAATTGTATTATTTGCAGCTGAGTCTTTTGATGATGCTGTCGAGGAGCGTGTCATTAATGAGGAGTATAAAATTTGGAAGAAAAATACGCCCTTTTTGTATGACCTGGTAATGACACACGCCTTGGAATGGCCGTCGCTAACCGCACAGTGGCTACCGGACGTAACTAAGCAAGAGGGTAAAGACTATTCAGTACATCGTCTGATCTTGGGCACTCATACTTCGGATGAACAAAATCATTTGCTAATTGCGAGCGTGCAGTTACCCAGTGAGGACGCACAGTTTGATGGTTCACACTATGACAACGAGAAAGGCGAGTTTGGAGGATTTGGTTCGGTTTGTGGGAAGATTGAAATCGAAATTAAGATCAATCACGAAGGCGAAGTGAATCGGGCACGTTATATGCCGCAAAACGCATGCGTCATTGCAACTAAAACACCATCAAGTGATGTGCTTGTGTTTGATTACACGAAACATCCTAGTAAGCCAGAACCATCGGGAGAATGTCATCCGGATTTACGTTTACGAGGACACCAGAAAGAAGGTTACGGTCTCTCGTGGAATCCGAACCTAAATGGTGAGTTGTGAAGAAATTGAATAATAAACCACAAATAAATGTCAATTATTATTTAAAGGTTATCTTCTATCCGCATCTGATGACCATACTATCTGCCTTTGGGATATAAATGCTACTCCAAAGGAGCACAGAGTAATTGATGCAAAAAACATATTTACCGGTCACACCGCTGTAGTGGAAGATGTTGCTTGGCATTTGCTGCATGAATCTCTTTTTGGCTCTGTAGCCGATGATCAAAAACTAATGATTTGGGACACGCGTAATAATAATACGTCGAAGCCTTCACATACGGTGGATGCGCACACAGCTGAAGTAAATTGTTTAAGTTTTAACCCATACTCCGAGTTCATTTTGGCAACCGGTTCTGCTGATAAGACAGTAGCTTTATGGGATTTACGTAATCTGAAATTAAAGTTGCATTCCTTTGAGTCGCATAAGGATGAAATCTTCCAAGTACAATGGTCACCTCATAATGAAACAATTTTGGCATCGTCTGGAACGGATCGCCGCTTGCACGTATGGGATTTATCAAAAATAGGCGAAGAGCAGAGCGCAGAAGACGCCGAAGATGGACCCCCAGAGCTATTATTTATACATGGTGGACATACAGCGAAGATTTCAGATTTTTCCTGGAATCCTAATGAACCTTGGATAATTTGTTCAGTATCAGAGGACAATATTATGCAAGTCTGGCAGATGGCCGAAAATGTTTATAATGACGAAGAGCCTGAAATACCAGCATCTGAACTAGAAAGCGCCAACGCCTAATTGGTTTTGTTGCCAGTTTTTTTTAGTTATATATAAATATCTTTTTTTTTAATTCTACTACATGTCAATCTCACATTGTGTGGGTACAGGGGTACAGAGGATTCAGTTTGCTTTTGTGGTTTTTTCGATGTTTGTAAAAAAGGTATGCGTAGAAATAATTTAATTGTTTTGTATTATCACGCTAACGTTCTGTGTCTGTTCAGCGATGTCTGAAAGAAACTACATATATATATATGAGCAAAAGCTGTCCAAATAAAGTATCATAAACAGGTAAATTTTATTCATTACTTGAAAATTTTCGGACGAAATTGGAAACAAAAAAGACTGCCCGTGCACGTTTTTGTGCGTGTGTTGGAATTAAAGTATTCAAAAACGGTTTGCAAAATTCCTCCCATATTTTATAGGGTAACTGATAAGTGTTTTTCTCTTTGCCTGTTCCTTTAGCGTGCATTGCTTTTGTTTATGAGTCGTAAAAACGCGTTTATTGGTAAAGATGGAGGGTTGATAGCGTACCCATTGCGCAAAATTATCGTATGTTACAAAAACCAAGTTTTACAGGAAAATATTTTTTATACTTTTCCCTCATTTGGCTAGCACCATCAATACCAAAGTTTAGATTTTCTGAGTTAATACGCAATATTTGTTTTGTAAAAAGGTCAAAATTCTAATTTCTTAGCACATATGATAGTTTCACACACAAGAAAAAATTCATTGTCAATACGATAAAATTTACAGTAAATTTTTGGGATAGCAATTGGGATTTATAATATTTGAATAGGTGATGCGTTATGGGTTGCAAAACAAAGTTGCATCAAAAAGTGATTTAAAAAATGTACATACGGTGCTTTTGCGCAAAAGGGTCGATATCTAAGTCCTCTATGTATGCTGTAAATTTACACATTTTGTTTAGCCCTAAACCACTATTTTCATATGCAGTGATCTGTTACAGTAAAATCATGATAAAAAAATTTGAATTTTTTAAATTTTCTGATATTCATGAAAGGTATGAAGCAGTGCTCTTACTAGTTTGTTCTTATGTAGTAACGATGATTTCTTATATCCGTTGGACGAAAATTATGACTTACAAGACGTCAATTGCATTGCAACTGCAATCGGTTGACAATGGGCCGTATGCATAAAAACTAAGCAATTGCTTTTGCTTAAAATTTCATACCTTTCACTTAAATTTATTCGAACAAACTGACTAAAAGGTTTGACATTTTAAGAAAAAGCATTTGCGTAGATTTTACGCATACGGCCCAATCTATACTTTCCATCATCGCATCGCAAGAGTAATCATCGCATCAGAAGCAAAGTTGATGCTTTGTTTGTTTTTGGTTACCATTGGTGTTTTAAAAAAGAAAAATTCCGAAATGGTGATCATTGTTTTATTAAATGTTCAAAATATGCAATCTCCCCTATTCCGATCTACCACGAATTTGTATTCCTATTATCCTTTCGAAAAGAAGAAGTATTGAAAACGTTAAAAAATCTGTCATTAATGGTTTTATTTACGACATAATTCAACGAACGACTGTCGATGCGAATGACTTACCACAACCAGAATAGGGGTGAATGTATGGTTGCAATGCTTCGCAACTCTGCATATACAAACAGTTTAAATACCGCAGCAGAACTGCATCCAAACAAGTACTCTTCTACTGGATGTTAAATAAAAATAATTTTGCGCAAAGGGGCTGATATGTGTATTTTCCAAAAGATTCAAAATGTTATCAAAGAGCTAATTGCATAACAAAAGTAGATTAAACATGTATAAGAGTATAACATCGCGTGAAACGGAACCTTATATACCGGATGAACGTGTTAAATATCGTTTTTTTTTTTTTTAACTTTCTGCAAACCACCTTTGCACTAAAAGGGCAGATGAATTTCTAAGGTTACTAGAGAAAATGGTTCTTAATGCAATAAGTGAACCGAGTTGGTAGAAATTGATAAAGCGTTTACCGGGATATATCCTAAAAATCTATTATTTCTTGTCAAGAGATTGTTGTAAGTATTATTTTGCAGTAAATTAGCGTCCTAAGTTATTGAAATATCGGAGTTTTCGTATTTCTGATATTTACCGTTATATGGGAAGGGGCGGGCTTGTTCGAGTTGCAATCACAACCGCAGTGTTGCGCGCTTAATTTTAGTCCAGGTTTTGCAATTCACCTCCGTGTGAATTTAAACGCCCATCACATTCACATGGAAGTGAATTACACAACCTGACTATCAGCCGTACCTAAATTAGCGCGTTGTTGTTGTTGTTGTTGTAGCAGCAGTGCTCAACCCCCCAGATTTGTCAATGTGTCGTCGTCTTCATCCTCCGACTCTGTGAGCCTGAGGCCGAGAAAGCGGGCTGCGTCGATAGGCGCGGTCCAGAGCGCTTCTGGTGTCAGGGTCGTAGGGTTGGAGGTGCACGTGAAGAGGTGCTGGGTGTCGTGAGGACCTTGCCCACATGCAGGGCATGTGTTTGCCACTTGTGTGTTCAGCCGAGAGAGGTAGCTGTTGAGTCGGTGACACCACCCAGAACGGAGTTGTGCTAGGGTGCACCTGGTCTCTCTCGGCAGCTCTATTTCTTCTGGGTCTATGGGCGGCGGTCGACCGCCCAAGACGATGTTGTCATTACGCGTACTGAGGCTCGTTCTGACCGCATCGCTGTGTAGGCTGTTGAGCGGCGCTCTGTATGTTGCTGCGTCGAATGGATGGTCTACGTACGGCTCAATGTCCGCTTTCCAGTCATGCAGGTGTCGTCTCACGTGTCGTGGGGGCGGTTCGTTACGAAGCAAGGCATTGTTGGGGTGATTCCCTCGGTGACAGCCCACGAGGTATTGCTTCGACAGCATGGTGTTGTGCTCTTTCACCGCCAGCATCTGGCTTTCTTCATGTAGGTGATGCTCGGACGACATGAGATGACAACCTGTAGCCGTACGTAGAGCTGCATTCTGGCAGGTTTGGAGGTTCCTCCATCGGGTGTCGCTTGTCCCCGCCGTCCACACTGGTGCCGCGTAGTTAGCCACTGACCGGCCGATTGCCTTGTAGGTCGCGAGCAGGGTTTCTTTGTTGGCTCCCCAGGTGCTGCCGGCTAGCGATTTTAGGACTTTGTTCCTGGCTCGCAGTTTGTTGCATGTGGCTGTGGCGTGCGCGGAGAAGGAGAAGAGGCTATCGAACGTCACTCCTAGAATTTTAGGGTGGTTGGTCGTCGGTATTTTGGCGCCATCGACGAAGACGTCCAGTTCTAGCCCCACCTCCTTGGTCCAGGTTGTAAAAAGTGTGGCGCTGGATTTTGCGGCGGAGATTTGGAGGTTCCTTGCGGAGAAGAAGTTGGAAAGATCGGTGAGATAGTCGGTTATTTGTTCGCAAAGTCTGTCTATGTTGGGGCCAGTTGCCATTATTGTGCAGTCATCGGCGTAGCTTACCAAGTTCACTCCTGCTGGCGGCGGAGGGAGTTTGGCCATGTAGAGATTAAACAGTGTCGGGGAGAGTACGCCGCCTTGGGGGATCCCCTGTTTAATTCTACGCGGCTTAGACTTGGCGTTTCGGAATTCGACCGATGACTGACGACCACACAGATAGCTGGTTATCCACCGTTTCGTCCGAGCTGGAAGCGACGAGTCCAGGATGTCTTGGCAGAGGGTCGCGTGGTTCACCGTGTCGAAAGCCTTCGACAGGTCCACAGCGACTAGGACCGTCCTATCACAGGGTCGACGTTGGTTCAGACCCTCGCTAATCTGTGTGGTAATGGTGTTTAATGCTGTTGTCGTGCTGTGCATTTTCCGGAATCCATGTTGGTGTTCGGCTAGCTTCAGATGCTTCGTCAGGCTGGGGAGGAGTAGTGCTTCCATGGTTTTTGCCACTGGGGATAGGAGGGAGATGGGTCTGTACGAGTCTCCTGCGTCCGCCTTCTTCCCTGGCTTAAGGAGAGGAATGATCCTACCCATTTTCCACATCTCGGGGATGATCAGGGTGGACAGTGACAAGTTGAAAGCGGCGGTCATATACTCGACTCCCGCAGGTCCTAGCTTTTTCAGCATCTGCATGGAAATTCCGTCTGGGCCTAACGCCTTCGATGACTTGGCGTGGTTGACAGCTGCCTGCGTCTCTTCGATGGTGAAGCACAGTGGTGTGTCTCGGGGGCGGAGTTTGTGTGCTTTCCATAGCACGCTGCGGCGGGTTTTGTCTCTCTCTGGGTTTGCAATGAATTGCCGGCTGAAGAAGCGCGCGCACGACCGCGGATCCGACGTAGTGGTGGTGCCGAAGGTGAGAGCGACATTGTCTCTACGCTTCGTCGGATTGGAGAGGGACTTGACTGTGGACCACAGTTTGCTGGCTCCGCTTGAGAGGTTGCAGGATTTTAAATGCTCATTCCATTTGTTCCGCTTGTGTTCGTTGACCAGGTTTCTAATGTCCCTATTGAGATCTCTTATACGGGGATCCCCTGGATTAGCCTGGCGGATTCGATCACGCTCGTCTGCGAGTCCCGCCGCTTCAGTGGGGAATCCTGGGCGGATTTTGGCGATCCGGCCGGCTGGTATGAAGCGAGCGGCTGCTGCGTTGATGATCCTGCGGATATTGCGCTCTGCTACGCGCGCGCATGATGGTAGAGGAAGAGCATTGAATTTGCGATCTGTGAATTCCGTGAAACCGTCCCAGTTCGCCTTCCGTGTGTTCATGAATGTCCGGTTCTCGGATGTCATAAAATCTCTTGGCTGGTCTATGGCGACTACTATGGGCAGGTGGTCTGATGCGAGCGTGAGCACTGGTTGCCATCCAATGCAGTTTATCAGACCCCCGCTTGCTATAGTTATATCTGGCGAGCTATAGCAGTCACCCGCGACCCTGGTGGGGGCATCATCATTCACAGTGCAGAACGTGGAGTCGTCAATTTGCTCAGCGAGCATTGTACCCCGCTGGTCATTGCCCAGATTGGAGTGCCAGAGTTCGTGGTGCGCATTGAAGTCGCCTAGCACTACCCGGTTCACACCCTCTAATAGCGCACTTATGTTAGGGTGGTATCCAGCTGAGCAACTGGTGGCGGGTGGTATGTTTACATTGACGATCTTCAGCTCCGTATCCCCCGACTTGATGGCCAAGCCTTGACATTCGATGAATGTATCGTTGGAGTCAGTTCGGGGGGTAATGAGCCGGTATTGAACCGCGTTATGCAATATGAAGGCAATGCCGCCTCCGGTGCCACGGGGGCGGTCTCTTCGGAGTACGTTGAACTCGTCCTGGCTCTGAAGGCTCGAGCCGGAGTGGAGTTTGGTCTCCTGGA